TCTACAGATGAGATCAAACAAAACAGATGAGAATTCCCCGAGCAAGTCACCCCCAAATAAACATTTTTTTTTTGCTGATAAACTAAATAAATGAGTGTCTAATCGTGCTGCAGACACGTGTCGTCAATAATTTGGCACTTCAGTGCATCTTAGTTCTAATTTAAATATTCTGCCTAAAACTGGCAGTGTTGTGCCGTTGTCAGGTAAAAACTCTGCACTGTATTTTAATTTAAATCTGCCACCGCTATTGGCTAAGAAGTATGCTATGATGTAAACTGGTACATTATGATGTCACAATGCTGTCGTGAGCCTGAGTGTGTGTGCATTTGTTAGCGGCTCCGCCCTCTCGGTCTGCCAGGCAACAGCATGTTTTGCATTTTTCAAACATGAAGTGGGAGTGGAGTTAGACTCTGGTAGGGGTTGACTTGCTCTTTAAGCTGTTTAACTTGGACCAAGTATTTTAGGTCACAGATAGGTGTAGCTTAGGGTCTCTGTCTATACACCTTATAAGACAATTTAGGTGATGGCATGTTATTTTTCTGCTATTGAACTGTTTTCTAATAATGTTGTGTTTAATAAAGTGAAGGAAGGAGAGAAATAACGTTTCCCTAGCAGTTTTTAACAATGTCCCCATGTAATCCGATTAATCGAATAATCGTGTCGAGACCCCATCCGATTCATCGATTATCCAAATAATCGTTTGTTGCAGCCCTAGACATGAGTACTAAATAAAGGGAAAAGTAGAGCCTGAAATTGTTTTTTATTAATGTTTTTAGCGGCATTTAGCATTCCTTGAACTAGTTAAAGCCCAGTGCAGTTATCAGAAGAAGTAGCACAACTAGATGGGGCTCACAGAGAGCGGTATTTACAAAAGTAAGTGTTAACTAGCTTACGAACATTAGCTTAGGTTCTCTCTGCGATTGTTCATCAATGTAAACAAGTTCCTGACAAAATTCACCCCGCTGGCTGTTTATAACATATGACACAATTTATAACATTGTGTTATAAACAGCCAGCTTTTGTTGCTGGTGGTGTCACCAGGTTCAGCTGCTGCTCTCACACCGGGACGAGATAAGATGTCTCTTAACGGTGACGCTTGTACTAAATAAATAACTTAATTTTAACTAGGGATGTCCCGATACATTTTTTTCACTTCCGATATGATAACGATATTGCAGCCTTCAGTATTGACTGATACCGATATCAATCTAATACGATATCAGCACAAATTAGATACTTTTACCCATTTCGTAGTGCCAATCGCGCAGCAAGCTGTTACTATTTTACTGTGAAATCTACTAAACAAAAGTGATGAAAGGCTACAAACTGGCTTGTTTTGACTAGCTTCACTGGAGTTTCAATGTGTGTAAATGGTCTTTTTGCCATCCACCATGACAAAGGGGGTGGTCCCATGAGTGGCGTGACATCACGTGCAAAAGGGTCAATAAGCTGAAAATATCTGGGAGGCGCTTGAAGAAAAGCTGCTGTTCCTCCAGCAATAGCTCTCTCTTGCACATTAAAGGTTTTTCATCTAATTTCCTCGTTTGTGATGTCATAACTGGGGTCTTTTTTGAAACGAGGCACTTAATCCCTAAAGCCAAACCGATGTATGGTTGGTGTTTATGGTTGGAGTGTTTATAGAGGAAGAAGAGACCTACATGGCGACATGAAAAGGATCCAAAAGGCGAGTTTTTGATAATATGTCCCTTTTAAATGTTTCAGAAAAACTGAAAGACCTTCCTTTTCACGCTCTCATAGAACCAGGAAACATGAAGCTCACATAGAGAAACCTTGGGCTGCATAATTAAACAGGCGTGCAGCCGAGCGTGACCATGACGCTGGACTCACCGTGATGTAGGAGCTTGTAAAACGAGCCCAACTAAACAGGTCAACAAGCCTGTAGAGGCTGGCCAGCTTGGAGCGAATCTGCTTCTCCCCTTTGGCAAAGGCGGGAGACTCGATGCCATACAAGTCATTGACTGGAGTCACCATCCCCAAACCTGCAATAAGACCCGTCATCAAAACACAGATCCAGAACGTCACATGGTATGGTATAGAAATAAGCATCTAGGGAACTTGAGTCTGCACAGCTGAGGAATAAAAAAAAACTCAGAGTTCTCAACATGAACCGAGGGGTATTTTTGGACGTTAATACCATATAAGGGCGTATAATGATACAGAACCTGATCTTTTACAGCCACGTTGGCTTTTTAAAGACCAGTTTGGATAAACAATCTCAAGGCCACTTCCTTTGTCACATGTTCCAAACATTTACTTTATCTGTGAGCGAACAGGTCACGCTAACGTAATTACCATTGCAAACTGCCATAATTCTGTACTGGGGAGTCATGAGGATTTGCACCAACAATGGAGAACGCTGTCAACAACTTTCTGCCCTTTCTACAATTTTAGGGTTGTTGAGAGTCACAAGAGTCCGGGAATTCAGCCTCCAACAATGAGGATAATCAGCTTGCATGATGCTTACAGCCTAAGGGAGACACACTTAAGGGACAAAGACGGATACTTAAGCACACACTAGCACTCACTGATGGGAGACGTCAATGGGCCAGCCCCGCCCACTGTGCTGGCCATGACTAGGTCAGCGATCTGTCTCAGAGCCAGGAGGCCTGATGGGTTGTTGCCCTTTGTCAATTGGTCCTGGATCAGACCTTCCAACTCGTCTTTAAACACCTGTAAACAAAGAGAAGATGGCGTTATAAATCTCCATTACCATAGAAACTGATACAACCCAGACCTCGTTCCAACACCACCCATGGACGTGTCCGGGGGCACAGCTTGCTTTCAGACTCGCTTTATTACAACTGAACTCAAATCACTGGAGACTAAATGAAAAGCTCAGTGTGTGTCGGTGAAAAGGGGAAGGGGGCTTCACTAAAAACCAGAGAATGACAGAAAGAGAGCGAACGGTTGCATTCACACCAACTATATTTTTTTGCATCTTGTGGCGTTTCTAACAGTGCCTTTTCCCCTGTAAGCTGCAGCTAAAACCCAGGCATTCTGCTTCATCTTGTTCACGGTTTCTATGGTGACGAGTATCACTTGTTGGCTCTGTTATGCAATCACAGAGGAGTGTGGGCTCGTCTTTATTTCCATGCACTTCATTGGCATGTGTGTATTACACCTCCTAATACTGCAAACTGTGCTGCTTTGTGAGGGGGCCCCACATTCTCGTGAATTTAGACTCGGCTCATCTGTTGAGTCAAAATCGAACAATGTTCAGTTTGTTTGTTTTTATTCTGGGGGATATGATAGATGTTCATGCAAGTGGGTCCCCGATCATGTGAATGGTTGCCATTTTAAAGCACTTAAAAGTGCATAATTTAAATGAAAAGTAGCCTCGTTAACATGTGTTTAGGTAGATTTTTAAGCATGCAAAAGCACAACTGAGTGCATTAAACCTGGAATGCATCAAGCGGAACCCCTTAGTGATTGTTAAAACTATGCAAATTTAATATTTGATAAAGAAAATAATATCCAAATCAGGAAACCATCACAGAGACTGGGGAAAGCACTGCATGGCCTTTACAGCTCTCAAACACACTCAAAGTTTCTACGTAGGAGTCCACTTACTGGACTCTGCAGGATCTGGGTGACACGTTTCTTCTGCTCCATCATGTTGAAGTCCTGCCTGAGGTCTGGCGACAGGGTCCTACTCCTGTCGCTGTCATCCCCGCGGTCAAGGTAGCGCTCCTTGGAGTCGTTGCTGGACAGGGGCAGGGTCAGAGACCCCGCTATCTGCCTCACATCCACCAAACTCATGCCTGTGGCGGCAGCGGCCTCCTACTCAGCTCTGAAACAAGAAGATAGGGCATGACAACTTCTGGGCTCACATTCAGGCTGTCAAGGCAACAGATATGCTTTTAGCTGAAAAAAAAGTCTACTGTTTGTGGTGAGTCACGTAATTACAGAGGTAAAGACAAAAGAGAGGCAAGCATTGTTGCACAGATTGATGCTGCTTTGCAAAGAAAAATGATGAATCAGTCATGGTTGATTAAATTCCCTCCTGAAATGCATTAGAATAACGCAGCTTTAAAGGAGCAGAGGCAAAATACTCTTTCAAGTAAATGAGGCACCAACATCCAGGAGGGGGTGCGTAAAGCACGATCCACGGTAAACAAAGGTAGGCCTCTACATGAGCTCGTCAGAAACCTGGATGTGGGGGTGGGGGAGATAAGGGGGGGAGTGGGTGGGGGGTGCGCGCCTGGATATAAAGTTGTTTTACTGCAGAAAACTAAACCAACATCCTCACTCTTGCAACCAGACAGCTTCCCGATCTCTAAACCCGCTCTGAGGCATCAGATTACAACTTCTAAACCAGCAAAAAAGAAAGTGTCGCTGCAGAGGATGCAGGAAAAAGAAAGTTGAAATGAAATAAAAGAAGAAGCGAAACTCTTAAGTGGAATAAAATGTAAAGCTTACCTTTTGGAAAGTACTTCCAATGATGGCGCGGTGTTGACAGAGATGTGGTTAAAAGCAGAAGCGCACGGATGTTATTCCCAAGTCGGGCACATTGTTTTAAAGAGGGAAAAGGTTTGAGCTGCTACAGTATCCAGACGGAGCGGACTGAGCGGAGCAGAGAGGCTGCATGGAGGGAGGATGTGGGTGTGTTTGTGTGGGAAAAAGGAAAAGTGGCCATGTGACTTCACTTATCCACCCACCAGGCCTTGCAGCGGGACAAAAGAGCGCCCAGGATTAAGCTTTTACAACCAATGCTGCAGCTTTCCTGTAATGTTCCAGCTGGAATCTGCAAGACTCTGTCCACCTAAAATGTTACAGAGAAGCAAAGTTGGGAAAATGCTGCTATTAAGCATTTTCTCTAGATGTGTGATCCGTGTTCTTTATGATAAACAGTTTGTTTATAGTTTAGGATGAAAACAATGAACTGATGTTTCCACAGTTGCACATAATTTACTATTTATGTTTATTTCCACATCCACGAATGCATCCAATTTAGGCACGTGCTAACAAAGTTGTGCAAAGGTGGTGTAAAGACAAAGACCCGGGTTAGTGTTATTATTGACTCTGACCTGAGCTTCTCTGGACATATTAAGGCTATAACGAAATCAGCGTTTTATCACCTTCATCAAATATCAAGAGTCAGAGGTCCCATGTCCAGACCAGACTTAGAGAAACTTATTCATGCTTTTATTTCTAGTCGGCTGGACTATTGCAATGGTCTCCTAACTGGTATTTCCAAAAAAGCTTTGAAGCAACTGCAGCTTGTTCAGAATGCTGCTGCTAGAGTCTTAACAAGAACCAAGAGAACGGAGCACATCACTCCTGTTCTTAGATCTCTACACTGGTTACCAGTAAACTACAGAATAGATTTCAAAGTGTTCCTACTAGTTTATAAATCACTCAATGGCATGGGACCAAAATACATGTCAGATCTCATTCCTGTATGTACACCCAAGAGGGCTCTGAGATCCCTTGGTAACAATCAGCTGGTAGAACCACGGGTCAGAACCAAACAAGGTGAAGATGCATTTAGTTACTATGCTGCTCACATATGGAATCAGCTTCCCCATGACCTCAGATGTGCCCCAATCCTAGAGTTGTTTAAAACAAAACTTAAAACCCTAATGTCCTCATCAGCCTTTAAATGAATTGTTCCTTATCATGCGTCGTCTCCACTGTACTCTGCATTGTAACTTTGTCTTCTTCTTTAGCTCTAAACTGTAATTCCATTAGTGTGTATTTTAATTTGTGTTTTTATGTTGTTTTCATATGTCCTGATAATTGTAATGCACATTGAATTGCCTCTGTGTTTGAAATGTGCTCTATAAATAAAGCAGCCTTGCCTATTTAATTCCATCTTCTATTGAGCTAAACTTTATCGTTTGTAGTGTTTTTGTTGTTTTTTTTATTCTGTTTCCTTGTGTTTTTAGTCCAGTTTTGGACAAAATTTCAGGCTTATTTGTCTGATTTGCATAAATCAATTTTAGACTAGTTCTGGACAAACTTACACAGAGTTAAGACTGAGCTTTATAGTTGCTTTACAATTATTCAGAATTGTGGATATTGAAAGTTGCATTATCAATGTAGTTTGGTTACCATTCTGTCATTAAACAGCTCCTAAATGAAAACAAAAAAAAAAAAAAAAAAAAAAAACTATACTGACCCCTGACAAATAACTTATAGCTCACATTTATTTCAACAAATCTGCTGTGGTAGTAATAATGCATGCCCCGTGAGTCATTTTGCATGATAACGCTCTGATGCTCTTGTTTCTGGAATTAGAGTTAGTCAGAGGAGAGGGGAGCAGAAAAAACTAGAATTTATAGTTTTACTCTTTATTAATCACGATAGTCACACATATTGCCTCTGATTGAATAACAGCAATACAACTCTTCCACTGTTGATGTTTTATCTCTACAAATAAATCAAGCCTGCCATGTTGTGGAGTTACTATTGCTAACGGTTAGCTTCTACTGTCTAGCCCAGATGCACTTTCCTCTCTCCTGGCTGCAAAAATCGTCTTTCCCGGTCCGCGAGGGTGGGATGAGTCTATGAATGCTAATTTACAGTGTGACATAGACCTGTGACTTTTTCTGACTTGAGTCCTTGTCTATTTTCTTAAGGTGGGTAATGCAGGAAATAGGGGTAGAAGACTATTTTCTTGTTCAGCCGGCATGCGAAAGAGTGACCAATCGTATTTAAAAAATAACAAGTAAAAACCTTTCCGGGCAACCATCCATCCTTATCCGGGGTTGGGATGTGGGGGCAGCAGCCTAAGCAAAGAGGCCCAGACTTCCCTCTCCCTGGCCACTTAGGGCAGCTCCTCCAGGGGAATCCCAAGGTGTTCCCTGGCCAGCCAAGAAACATAATCCCTACCAGCGTGTCCTCAGTCTTCCTTTGGGTCTCCTGCCGGTTGGACGTGTCCAGATAACCTCACCAGGGGAGGCGTCCAGGAGGCATCCTGACCAGATGCCCGAGTCACCTCAACTGGCTCCCCTCGATGTGGAGGAGCATCGGATCTACACCGAGCCCCTCCTGGATGACCAAGCTTCTCATCCCATCTCATCACTGGAGAACCCAGACACCCTGCAGAGAAAACTAATTTCAGCCGTTTGTATCCGGAATCTCATTCTTTCGGTCACTACCCAAAACTCGTGACCATTGGTGAGGGTAGGAACATAGATCGACTGGTAAATTAAGAGCTTTGCCTTCCGAAGGACAGGTAAAATGCCTGCATTACTGCAGACGCAGCACCCATCTGCCCATCGATCCCCTGCTCCATCCTTTTCTTCATTCATGATCAAGATTCAGAGATACTTAAACTCCTCCACTTGGGGCAGGACCTGCTCCCTGACCTGGATAAGGCATTCCAGCCTTTTCCAACTCATGACCATGGTCTCAGATTTGGAGGAGCTGATTCTCATCAACTAACACTCGACTGCGATCCTCCTCAGTGAAAAGCCATGATGAAAACCACATTCCTCCTCCTGAATCCGATGTTTGACTGTCTGGCAGACCCTCTTCTCCAGAACCCCTGAATAGGCCTTACCAGGGAGAATCAGGAGTGTAATCCCCTGTAGTTGGAACAGTCCTCCTTTTTATAAAGAGGAACTATGACCCCGGTCTGCCAATCCAGTGGAACTGCCCCCAATTTCCACGTAATATTGCAGAGCGGTGTCAACCAACACAGCCCTAAAGCATCCAGAGCCCTAACAAACTCCAGGTGGATCTCATCCACCCCTGGGGCCTCGTCACCAAGGAGCTTTTTGACCACCTCAGTTACATCAGCACCAGAGATCAGAGAGCCCAACCCAGACTTTCGCACTGAAAGACGTGCCAGTGGGATTAAGGAGGTCTTCAAAGTACTCTGCCCACTGATCCACAACATCCTGAGTCAAAGTTAGCAACACCATCCCCGCTATAAACAGTTTAACCGTCTGGAGGCAGGCGTTGCAGATTTGCAACGTTAAAACCTACCTACCTGCTTACTCCACATACGTATTTCATGAGCATTTTTTAACTCAGAAGTACCCCTGAAGGACTTAGTTGTTCGTCCTGTTATCAAAACTTATTTTGAGCCTGAGAGGGTTAATAGTCCACCACGTTCCCCTTATGAGATGCTGGATGATGGAGCAGAAATTTCTCAAAGCCGTATGGAAGACTTTCTCCATGTCCTCACTAAACATGCCCAGGTTTTTGCCTTTGTGACCTGTCCGCTTGGACTGCTGGTAGCCATTGTAGGGCTTTGTAAATTGAGTGCTTTAAGAGCTCAACAGATATATTATCTCCACTTATGACCAATAAGCTGTGATACTCTATCTAAATATAGAATATCACCCTGCCTGGTCTTTATTGTGCTTTAATAAAAAGATTCTAGGATTCTTTATTTATTAGGGGATTGTAAACACTTCGTTTTGATTCAGAAAAGAGTCAGGTTTGTAAAAGTAAGAATTTATTTTACCAACAATTAAAACATGACAAATTAACTAAGCGTTTACTGTGATGGATGGAACTAGATGTGATGTGTGAACCTATGTGTGAATGCAATGTTATCAGAACTTCCGTATCTCGGAGAGCTGAGTTCTGGATATAAAAGAATCTGGTTTGCATTAAGCTATAAGTTGATTATTATCAAAGCACATCAGACGCTATCTGCGTGTCCACACTACCCATTTTCAGAGACCCTCTTGGTGGATCCGAAGGTCAGAGAGGTCGGACGACCGCTGGCACCGGAGGGCTGTAGAATACCGTGGCACCGACCCTTCAGTCCAGAGATGTCTCGGGTCACGACAGACGGATGGAACCGCGCGTCTGAGACTCTTAAGGAGTCTAATCAATATCAGCTTGTTCTGCAGGAACCGTTTGCTTTATCAGCTTTGCAGGTGCAAAAAGATTTTGATGACGTGTCAAAATCTTTGGTGGGTTAAAGAGGAGTGCTTCAGGTGGCCGGTCTGAAGCTTCTCCAGAACTGAGGGAAAACCCCAGTAATCTGGTTTTAATGTTCTCATGTTATGATTGTGTAGCCAACCAGAGGTTGACAAGTTTGAGGGATATTACCAAGAATCTCAGAAACACACGCCCTCTTTGACACCGTAGGCTCTGAACTGGGGTAAAGGCTATTTATGTGTCATGGACTTAACTTTACTTTACTTTGTTCTTGTGTGAGTGCAAATGTTATGACCTGGTCAAGTAAACATGCTGAAACCTATATCATTGAGCACAGTTTAATGAAACATTTCATTATTTTATAATTATTATAAGTAGCAATAAACAAATGTTCATTTAATGATTATTTAACTTTATTAGTTGTGGAAGTTCATCTTTAATTTAAAAATCTTCTTTCTTCTGAAGCAACGAGACTTAGATAAGAAGGTGCTCTGTGAGGGACCTTGAGTATGTTGTTATGATTTCTCCATCTCTGTCAGAGCTGCAGGCTCTGAGTTCCAGCTGGAGGGATGAAGGCAGGCTGATTTAAAGGGAACACATGCAGTCTCGTGTCTCCTTTTTGACCAGATGTTGAATGGTCAAACAGTACCTAAAAACTGACCATTGCTGGACATTACACCATCAACTGCCTCTGGAGTGCTACAAGCCCAAAGGACCAGATAGGACTCCTTCAGCTTGACAGCATTCCTAACTTGCCAGTGTCCACCAGCAGGTTTGAGGATCGCT